AAGACAATCCTTTCTTGTAAATCCTCACCAACAGACTATTCCCTTCCCCCCCGAAAATAAAGATTCCAACTGATAATTGTCCCGTTCCTTTTCCTCGCCGCTTTTTCTCAGTTTTGGGCATTTTTAAAGAGGGTTAATATTACTGAAAAAATCTTCTCAGTTCGTTGTAGTAATACATGTTCGAACTCACTTTATCTTCATTGTGTTGCAGCATAATAAATTTAAATCCAAATATTAAAAAACCCGGCTGGTCGCTGCTAATGGAAACATGGTGGCCATGTTTCCTCCGATCCTTCTCTCCTGCTTCGGGGCACAATGCCCACTCCCCCGCGACTGCAGTCTGCGAGGGGGGCGAAGAAGCCCCCTGCTACTCCCCCTCCCTACGAGAGGCTGAGCAGGCACCCCCACTGCAGCGGGGGGGGGGGGCAAAGGAACAAAGAGGAGACGGACGGTTCAGGAGAAGCCTGATACACGTCTGTTCATAGCGCCGCACCGGAAGCTTGGGAGGAGCTTCCCTGAGTCAGCCCCGGTTCTCCCAGATTAGAGTCCGCGCACTTAATCACTACACCAATAGACAAGTCACACTGTGCAATTTACTTTGGAACACACACAGCTGAGCTGAATGAAGTGGGGATTCTAAGAACACTGTTGGAGAAGCACTTCTAGAGAGCCACAATCCTATCTAGCTCGGCCCTCATGCACCGCCTCACTGCCGTGGTCTTCTCTAGAATCACAAATTGATACCAGAAGGGGCAAGGTTCTAAGCGCACGCCTCCAAGCTAAGTAGTACGCAGGGCCCAGGAGTTATATTCTGAGCCCCAAAATGTTTTTGTTCATGCAAGACTCCTCCACGAGCAGTCATGTAGTGTTATCACACACACACTAAGCACACGGACAAACTACTGGCGGGAAGGGTGGGGCTCCTTGTCACTTGCCTAGCACCCGCCCACCCCCATGCGCTTCTATGCAAAGAACATTGTCATAATGTGCTTTGTGTATGGCATTATTTTAATTTTTCTACCCTGCTCCAGATCTGTCCATGCGGTCGTGATCCGTAATCAGCCAGGCTGCCTCTGTATCAGAAGCACAATCCAAAACTCTGTGTGCACAAGGAATGCCTTAGATAAGTAACCCACGGTGGGCCCTCAAGTTTTCTAGGATCATGTGCTATGGAACGCCTGGTGGATGGATGGGAATTGCCTTCAACTCGCAGCCCACTTATGGCAACCCCCGCCCTGGTAGGGTTTTCAAGGCAAGAGACATTTGGAGGTGGTGTTGTGGGCCTGTCTGCCAACACCTCCTCCGATGAGGAAGAGATGGAGGAGGCTGGTCCCATCCCTCGGATGCTGCAGGAAGACCCACCAGACAAGGTGGAAACTCCATCGGGTGCAAACGGAGGATCGCACCCTGCAGTCTGCTATTGGGGGAATTAAGAGTCCAGGAGGAAAGCCATCCCCACCTGGCTTGAAAAGGGAGTGGGTTGAAACTGGCAGGAACCCCCATAGTTTGAGAGAAGGGGAAAAAACCTGTTCCAAAGTATCTATGATTTATTGAAAGACAACCACACTGCACAAATTTTCAAGCCAGTAGCCCTTTCAGTATTCATCTTACAGAAGGGAAAAGACAAACCGATACTCATAAGAAGAAAAGATTGGATTGATACCCCGCCCTTCACTACCCAAAGGTGTCTCAGAGCGGCTTACAAACTCCTTCCCCTTCCCTTCCCCACAACAGACACCCTGTGAGGCAGGTGGGGCTGAGAGAGCTCTGACAGAAACTGCTCTTTTTCAAGGACAGCTCTTATCAGAACTATGGCTTGCCCAAGGTCATCCAGCCAGGTGCAAGTGGAGGAGTGTGGAATCAAACCCGGTTCTCCCAGATTAGAGTCCGCACACTTAACCACTACACCAGACTGGCTCTCATAAACAAACAGAGCACTGATAATTCATTTAGGAATTATTATCTATTTAGGAACGCCTTCCGGCTGCTCTGGCAAGACCTAACGATGGTGTTGGCAGAGGGGCCTTAGCATCTCAAACACTGGTGTTAAAGACCTTTAGAGTCCAGGTTGGCTGTCAGTCCAGAAATCGGGTGGTCCTGACAAAACCCAGACCCTTTCCTTTTCTGACCAGAAGGCTCTGACTGGAGTCATTGTATTACTAGGATAAGAACCCCCTCCCTGTCAAGGCAGGAGTTTGGAGCACACAGAGGCCTAGGCCAGTTCAGGCTGCTGTGCAGAACTGCCCCGTCTTGCTTATAATTCCGCCATGCCCGCAGTCCTGCAGCCCAGGAAGTCAAAACAGAGGCCCTGCACCTGCCAGCCTCACCCCTGGGGTCGCCAGAGCCTTTGGAATGCCGGAGAAGGTGGCCCGAAGGGAGGCATAGGAGGGGTGCCCTAGTGCACGGTTGGCAGTCCAGCACAGGGCGACCTCTGCCTGTGAGGCGTAGTCATTGCAGGATCAGGGTTGACAGCCCTGTAGGCTCCTCAGCCATTGGGGACTTGCACCCTGGATGACTCAGCAGGCTGAGGAGTTGCACCTGGCCTCGAATGAGTCCTGAGAAAAGCAGCCAGAAAAGGGAGAGCTAGCATGGAAGCAACTGGGCCACAGATCTTGTGTGCTTTAGACTTCTGTGCACTTCAACCTTCTGGGCTGTGCCCTGGCTTGGCCTCTTTGAATTTACCCTTCTGGTTTAATGCTTGGACTTTTGACTAGCTGGTGCCTGGATCCTGGACCTGTTTTTTGGACTTTTGCCTATTGCCTGTTGCCCCAGGTGCCTGACTGAACCAGGACAGGTGTGGTTTGCCACGGTCTGCCTTTGTATACTGATCCTAGGCTTCCTAGGTGGTCTCCAGTGAGTTAGTGTGAGCTAGCTCACAGTTTTTTAGCCTCCAGCTCACATATTTCTGTCTTAGCTCAGGAAGGATGGCTCCAGAGCAAACTAATTTACGCAGTAGCTAAATCGCTCACTCACAACTTTAATGCCAGTAGCACACAAAGTAGAATTTTTGCTCACAAGACTCCACAGCTTAGAGGGAGCATTGGTGGTCTCCCACCGAAATATTATCCAGGGCTGACTCTGCTTAGCTCCTGAGATCTGATGAGATCAGGCTAGCTTGGGCCGTCTAGGTCAGGACATGGAATGCCTACATAAGAGTTTATACAGCCCTGGTTTGTCTGAAAAGAAGAAGAAGAAGAAGAAGAAGAGGAGGAGGAGGAGATTGGATTTATACCCCCCCTTCAGTTGGAGTCTCAGAGCAGTTTACAATCTCCTTTCCCTTCCCCTCCCCACAACAGACATCTTGTGAGGTAGGTGGGGCTGAGAGAGCTCTGACAGAAACTGCCCTTGAGAGAACAGCTCTGAGAGAACTTGTGACTGACCCGAGGTCACACCAGCAGCTGCATGTGGAGGAGCGGGGAATCAAACCCGGTTCTTCCAGATTAGAGTCCACACTCCTAAGCACTACACCAAACTGGCTCTGAACTACTCTGTACCAGTGTTCCCTCTAAGATGAGTTAGTGTGAGCTAGCTCACAGTTTTTTAGCCTCCGGCTCACACATTTTTGTCTTAGCTCAGGAAGCAAACTCCAAATCAAACTAACTGACGCAGCAGCCAAATCGCTCACTCGCAGCTTTAATGCCAGTAGCTCACAAAGTAGAATTTTTGCTCACAAGACTCCACAGCTTAGAGGGAGCATTGCTCTGTACTACTGTTCTACTGTTCCTGCTGGAGCTTTTGTGACTGTTTAAAGACTCCTCTAAACTGGAACTACTAACCTAATTTTCTCCATGTTCCTCATTAGAACGGGGGAGTGGGGGGGAGCATTCCATTATGAGCATTCATCCGAAATAGGAATTCAAAATCATTTTTGCCTTTTTAAATGTTAAACTATGGTCGACCTCTAACATTACTAATGGTCATACCTTAAAATCCAAGGATGAGAGTTTTTCGACTCTTTTGTTGACGTCAGGAGAACCGGCCTTCTTTGCGAAATAAACGAAACACAGCTTGGTTTGCTCCCAAAACGACAAGATCATGAAACTGTCGGTAAGTATGGCTGAAAACACACACAAAAAGTGTCAGCATTGTAATATCGGTCACCAGTAACAAAAAAACAAGTTACTGAACGCTCCACTGAAAAGCAACATTTTCTAGGCAATGCTTTAAGATATTACACTGGGGCTTCTATAATCTCCTAAAAGACATCAAGGTTTCATCTCGTTCGGGGCCTTGTCGGAAATGAGAAATAAAGCTTAGGGGAGGACTCAGACGAAGTAAAGCTGAATAAATTATCGTGTTACCACATCCTGACTCTGATACGATATATTTCTCCTTCTATATCCATATTCATCCTTCCTTCAGTCCTTTTGGATTCTGCAGCGTAACCCCCCCTTCTGCAATTGCTTTCATTGGCTAAACAGAAATAGTGTTTTCACTATGCAGCCAAGCATAAATGTTAAAAAAAAAAAAGCCACCCCAGCACCGCTGAGACTGCAGAAGCTGCAACGGCAGCAATTAGGTTCATTGTCGCTGCTGAGCTCCGGAAGAGACAAATCTGGAGATATTTTATGTATGACATCTGCCCCCTTATCCTTGAATCACAACACTCCAGGAGTGAATCACACCAATCAAAAGTGGGCAGTTCTTGAAGTCTAGGAAATTGTCAACAGATTACTGTATGAAGAAAGAATTGCTACGGGCAGAACATAAGACCTGTGTGTCTAACACTGCCCCAACATGGATGGCCCCGGCTAGTAACCCAGTCTCGTCAGGTCTCCGAAGTTAAGCAGGGTCGGCCCCGGCTAGTATTTAGATGGGGGACCACCAAGGAATACCAGGGCCACGATGCGAAGGCAGGCAATTGCAAATCACCTCTGAACATCTCTTGCCTTGAAAACCCCTACAGGGTTGCCGTAAGTCAGCTGTGACTTGATGGCAAAAAAAACAAAGTCTCACAGTAAAGTTCGTTCGCGAAATACGATTTCATACATTAGAAGGAAAAAAGCAGTTCATTATAAGCATTCATCCAAAACTACTAGGCAGATGATGAGAAAGGAGGGTAGAAAGGGTTGCATTTCTTTTTTCCCCCCACAAAACTTTTATTTTTGGATATAATAACACATTTAACATATAATTTCAGTTGACAAATATCCATGTTCCCCCTCCTTCCCTCCCCTACTATTGGCTTCCCGCAGTGCTCTACCCTTCTTTCATTTACACTCTTATATTTGTTTCACAATTGTTTATCAGTTACAAGATAACATCACTCTATATCAATATTGTTCTAAATACAGTAAATTTTGTTTCACATCCCAGTTTTTCTCTAAATAGTCTTTAAAGTCATTCCATTCTTCAAAAAATTCTTGATCTTCTTTATTGTTCAATTTTCTTGTTATTTTGTCCATTTCTGCCATAAATAGCACTTTTTGTATCCATTCTGTGATTTCTGGTATTCTCTCTTGTTTCCAACATTGTGCATACACCATTCTCGCCATCGTTATCAGATACCAAAACATAGTCTTTTTTGTTACATTTAATTCTTCCAACTTCAATCCTAACAGTAAAATCTCTGGTTCTTTCTTAAATGTACATTTAAATTTTTTTTGCATTTCAATATGAACTTTTGTCCAAAAGTCCATCGCTTTTTCACATGTCCATCACATATGGTAAAATGAACCCTCATGTTTCTTACATTTCCAACACTTATTGGACATATTTTGATTCATATTTGCTATTTTCTTTGGTGTCATATACCATCTGTACATCATTTTATAACAGTTTTCTTTAACATTAGTACATGTTGATATCTTAATAGAATTTTTCCACAAATATTCCCAAGATGACATAGTCACCTCCTTATTCATATTAACAGCCCATTTGAGCATTTGTTCTTTTACTGTCTCATCTTCTGTATACCATTTTAACAAAATTTTGTACATATTAGAAGTCATTTTTCTCCCTCTACTCTCCGATACAGATTCTATTTCATTTTTCTCTTCTCTAAAACCATACTTTTTTGTCTGTTCTAAACAGATCTCGAATCTGTAAATAACCCCAACCAAACATATTTAAAGTGTATCTCCTCCTGTTCTTTCATTACCCATTCTGACCCCACCTTTTTTTATTAAGTCTCTGTATGGCAACAACTCTTCACCTCTTTGTCTCGTATATTGTGTAATGACTTCTGCTGGCACAATCCAAAGTGGTCTTGCTTCATTAAAAAACCTTTTATATCTCGCCCATACTCCAAACAATGCTCTTCTTACAAAATGATGTTTAAAAAATTTATCCATTTTGGTTTTTTCATACCATAAATAAGCATGCCATCCGAATCTGCAATCATGTCCTTCCAATGCTAATAGCTTTTTATTGCCTAAGTTAACCCATTGTTCCAACCAAGTCAGACAAACTGCCTCATAATATAATCACAGGTTTGGTAGTTGCAGACCTCCTCTTTCTTTGGCATCACATAATATCTTCATTTTAATTCTTGGTTTTCTTCCTGCCCAGACAAATTTTGACACTTCTCGTTGCCATCTATTCAAGACCTCAATTTCTTTCAGTATTGGAATAGTTTGAAACAGAAACATCAACCGTGGTAAAACATTCATTTTGACCACTGAAATTCTTCCCAATAAAGATAGATTCATATTGTCCCATTTCTTGAGGTCCTGCAATATTTTGGTCCATAACATCTCATAGTTATTTTAATAAAGGTCAGTATTTTTCATTGTCAATTCTATACCGAGATATTTAGTCTTCTTCACTACCACACATTGTACCAGTTCTTGTAAATCTGCTTGCTTGACTCTAGTCATATTTTTACATAGCATTTTGGTTTTGTTTTTACTCACATAAAAACCAGCCAGCTCTCCAAAGTCTGATATTCGCTTCATCAACAAGGGTAAGTTGTCATTTGGATTTTCGACAATAAACATCATGTCATCTGCGAATGCCCTATATTTGTATACGTAGCCTCGGTGATTGAGACCTTTTATTTCAGTATCTTCTCTCACTTTCCCCAGCAGTATTTCCAAAACCCAAATAAACAAAAGTGGGGAAAGCGGACTACCTTGTCTGGTCCCCTTTTGTACTTTAAAGTGATCAATTAGTTCTTTATTTACGTTCAGTTTTGCTCTTTGTTCTGTATAGATCACTTCAATTATATTCCTAAAAGGTTGCCCAGTCTCCATTTTGTCAAACACTTGAAACATAAAGTCCCAGTTTAAGTTGTCAAAGGCTTTTTCTGCATCCACAAACAAAAAGGCTACTTCTTTCTCCAGATGTTTATCATAGTATTCAATTGCGTCCATCACTATTCTTAAATTGTCTCTTATTTGTCTATTTGGTAAAAATCCAGCTTGTTCCTCAGAAATCGCATTCTGTAAATAACTCTTCACCCTTTCTGCTATAACTTTGGCAAATATTTTATAATCGTTGTTCAGGAGCGAAATCGGTCTATAATTTTTCACATTAGTTAAATCTTGGCCTTCTTTAGGAATTAAAGCAATGTTTGCTTCTTTCCATGTCTCAGGTATTGTTTTTGTGTCTCTTATGTCATTTGTAAGCAACTCCAGAACCGGCACCAACTCTTCTTTTAACTTTTTATAAAATTTTTCAGTAAATCCGTCCGGTCCTGGTGCTTTTCCCAACTTTGTTTCCTCTACTGCTTTAACTATTTCTTCTTTCTGAATTCTTCCATTCAGAAGTACTTTAAATTTATCTTGAATCTTTGGCAATGACACATTCTCTAAATATACTCTTATTTTCTCCACATCTGTTTTCTTACCTTGGAACAATTTTGCGTAATATTTGAAGAAAATTCTTTTAATGCCCTTAGAGTCAACATATTCTTTTCCATCCTCCACTTCTACAAAAAGCAACAGTCTATTGTTGCACTGCAAGCATCTTATAAAGTACAGACATGAAATATGACTCTAAGCTGAGCTGTACAATGAGTGTGCCAGGAAAAATGGACTGAATGGTGACCATGAGACGGAGCCAACCTACTGGACAGAAGACATGTGCCCAGCCAAGGGAAGCCTTGCACTGAAGCAGCATGTTAAACCGGATGTGGACCAATGGAACACTCGATGCCATCCATCCCTGCATCTCCAAAGATACTACAAACCAAGGTAGACGGTGTGCCAGCCTCCCTGACATCGCAGCCACATGGAGCCAGCAGCTAGACTTCCAGCAAAGCCATGCTTTGCAGAGGGAGCCTGGACATTTCTGCACAAACGCCACGGAGAAGCCTCTTCTCCATCACACAGGCATCCCCCCCACCTTCTAGCAGCATCATTCGAAACTCATCCTCAAGTAAACGATAGATCTTGACCATGATGTGATTAACTGAGCTGCCATGCACACCCACTGCCCATTAAGATAACACAGCTGCAGATGGTCAGGTGGTTGACTCTAACTACTGGCCAAGCTACACACACACTTGGACACATACTGTCTCTAGTACTCTGAGACCATTTGGTATTCCACTTTTCCTGTTACAAACCGTGGTTATACATAAGACTTTCTCCGTGTAGTGGTTAAGTGCGCGGACTCTAATCTGGGAGTGATTCTCCACTCCTCCACTTGCACCTGGCTGGATGGCCTTGGGCAAGCCACAGTTCTGATAAGAGCTGTCCTTGAAAAAGAGCCGTTTCTGTCAGAGCTCTCTCAGCCCCACCTACCTCACAGGGTGTCTGTTGTGGGGAGGGGAAGGGAAAGGAGTTTTTAAGCCGCTCTGAGACTACTTTGGGTAGTGAAGGGCGGGGTATCAATCCAATCTCCTCCTCCTCCTCCTCCTCCTCCTCCTCCTCCTCTTCTTCTTCTTCTTCTTCTTCTTCTTCTTCTTCTTCTTCTTCTTCTTCTTCTTCTTCTTCTTCTTCTTCTTCTTCTTCTTCCATCTGGCTCTCTCCACTGTCTGGTGAGGCTTTTCCAGACACCTAGTCTTTCCCTTAACCACTTCACAAGTCCCCTTGGAGAAGTGTGTGTGTAGCTTTGTTAATACTAAGGAGTTCTTCAATTTCTCCTTTCATATCACTCCCCTCTCTCTCTGGA